GCGCGGCGGGCGCAGCGGAGGGAGCGGAGCAGCAGGCCGGCGGCGGCGTTCGCAGCAAGAAGCGGCGCGCGGCCGAGGCGGCGTTTGCAGCTTCCGCAGCCACGATCGGTGACGCGGCTGCGGAAGGGGCCGCTGCGGTCGCAGGCGGCGGCGGCGGCGGCGAGGAGGATGAGGAGGAGGGCGCTCTGGGCGCCGGCGACGCGTTTGGGGCGGACGCCGCCGAGGCGGAGCCGGGCTTTGGCGGCGGCGGCGGCGGCGGCGGCGCTGGCGGCGGTCTTGGGGGAGGCGTGGATGAGGAGGACCTGGATCAGTTTGAGGGGGTGGATGACTTTGATCAGATGGAGGAGGACGAGGACGAGGAGGAGGTGCAGGTGCGTGGGTGCCGGCGCACGTAGGGGTCGTTCGAACTGCGACCTTGGTGATCTGGGTGATCTGGGTGATCAGGGTGATCAGGGTGATCAGGGTGATTAGGGTGTTCAGGGATAATGCACCCCCTGCTCAGGTCGCAGCGGTTACGGCCGCATGCCGGTGCCGATTGTCGCAAAGGACACCAACGCCGTGAGTTTCTGAACCAAACGCGTCGCCAACCCATTTCACCGCAGGTGCTGGGCGGTGACGAGTTCACCCCAGAGGAGATCGCCGCCGCCGAGGCGCGCTTCGAGGAGGTCTACGGCTGGAAGCTGCCGGGCAGCTGCAGCGGCGGCGGCGGCGACAGCAGCGCGGGCGACACTGCTGGCAACAGTGACGCACGCACGGGCGCCGGGCAGCAGGCGGCGGGGTCCGGCGCGGCGGCGCTGCCGCCGCTGCATGTGGTGCCGCTGTACGCGATGCTGCCGCAGGCGCAGCAGGCCGCGGCGTTCAGGGCGCCGCCCAAGGGGCACAGGCTGGTTGTCGTGGCCACCAACGTGGCGGAGACATCGATCACGATCCCTGGCATCAGGTGGGCGGCGGTCGTCAGGGACTGATTTACTAGGGGCTGCCGCTCGACTGCTCAGCTGTCGGCCGCACTTTGGCGGCGCGTCGGCGCCTGGTCCGAAATGGGGAGGGCAGCAGACGAGGCCGGTGAGGGCCAGCTGAATGGTCCGCCCCGTGAATCCGGCCTGCCCACGATGGCGACGGCACGCAGCGGCCGCCGCAGCCACCCTCCCGCGAACCCATCACGCGCCGCGACGCGTTGAAACGCCACCGCAACCTGCACTTGCCCAAACAATGTCCTCCACTCCGCCAAACCCTGTACCGCATGCGACTCAACCCTGTTCTGCGCACGACTGAACCCTGCACTCAAAAGGTATGTGGTGGATGCGGGGCGGTCCAAGCAGAAGCTGCTGGAGGCGGGCGGCGGCCTCACGCGTTACGAGGTGAAGGCGCGAGCTAGCTACAAGCCAGCACCTGTTGCGGGGAGGGGTGGCGCGGCTGCTACAGCCCCGACCTCCGATTTCGATGGAGCCCGGCTGCTGGGCAGGATTTTTGCCGTGGACTCTGAGTGGCGGAACTAGCAGCATGCCCCTGTTGCCTCGAGGCTTGCGCTTTCGGTTGCTCCAAGTGATTGACGCTGACTCATCACCGCACCATCGATACGCGCCCGAATCAATCAGGTGCGCTGGGTCAGCAAGGCGTCCGCCGCGCAGCGCGCCGGCCGCGCGGGCCGCACTGGCCCCGGCCACACGTACCGGCTGTACAGCAGCGCCCACTTCAACGACACCTTCCCGGAGCACACGCCCCCCGAGATCCTCAACACGCAGCTGGAGGGGGTGGTGCTGGTCATGAAGGCCATGGGCGTGGACAAGGTGGGGGCGCAGGGGGCGTTGAGGGTTCAAACCCCACCCAACAACAGCTGGGGAGAGCAGAAGGGTGCTGTGGAGTGCTTGTCATAAGATGAGATGGGGTCCACATGCATGCATGTTCGTCTTTGATTGCGCGTACACACACATTCCAAGCGCCCCTTTGCAGAGGACTGGTGCAGCTGAAAACGGTCACAATCGCCAGAAGGCACGCATCCCGCCCCAATGCCTCCCTTGCTCACCCCACCTCGCCGACCCAGGTGTCAGCCTTCCCCTTCCCAACGCCGCCCGACCCCGACCTGCTGCGCGCAGCCACGCGCTGCCTCTGCGCGCTCTCCGCGCTCGAGCCCGCGCCCGCCGCGGCGCGCCAGACGCAGCAGCAGCAGGCGCAGCAAGAGGCGGGCGGGCGCCTGACGGCGATGGGGGAGGTGATGGCCGGGTTCCCCATCAGCCCCCGGCACTCGCGCATGGTGCTGGAGGTCGTGCAGTGGCAGCGGCGGCGCGACGAGGAGGCCGGGGAGGAACAACAGCAGCAGCAGCAGCAGACGGAAGAGGAGGCTGCGGCGGCGGCGGCGGCGGCGGCGCGGCGCAGGGACGGCAAGAAGCTGCGGCGGCGGCAGCGGGCAGCGGTGCAGGCGCTGCCCTACGCGCTGGCGCTCGCGGCGGCGCTGAGCCTCGAATCGCCGTTCATGTTGGTGGATGATGTTGGGGGCGGTGAGGGGGGAGGGGCAGGCGGGGACGTGGCCGCCCAAAATCAGCAGCAGCAGGAGCAGCAGCAGCGGGAGCAGCAGGAGCAGCAGCAGCAGGACGCAGC